TGTAGTATAAAGCATTGCCTAGGTATGTGTCTCGCTTTGAAAAAGGTATGAAAATACGTCTTAGTAGACCAATGAAAACATAAAGAAATCTACAATTGATAAGTCACTCGCTGACTTAACAAGTGAAATTGCAGATAGGATTATTCAATTCCGAAGAAAACGGGAAAGCAGGAATGGTGAGACTTGTGTAAATGCCTTGATAGGGTAATTATTGGCAATGACTTCATCTTCCTCGTCTCTTCATGTCATTTAGAGATAAAAATGCGATGCATGACCACTATGTAAATATGTTTTATATATTTATTATATCATTATTATTTCATTATTGTTATTATTATTATTATTATAATGATAATACGCAAAGCGTTTAATATCAGATAATGAAAAATTTGTGATAAAGAGCAAGAAATACAGGAAGGATATTGAGAGCATGGAGAAAAAGAGGAAGAAGGATTGCAGGATTGAGAATTAGGAAGATGGAATGGTAATAATGATAATGATAATAATGATAATTATAATAAAGATAATAATATAAACAATGATAAGAAAATAATAGAAAATAATATAAGTAAAGATATAAACAGTAATAAGAAATTGATAAATAATGATGATAATAATGATGATAGTAATACTAACAATAATGAAGATAAAAGTGATGATAATAATGACAATAGTAAAAAGGGTAATCATAATGATAATAATGATAATAATAATGATAATGATGATAATAAGGGTGATAATAAAAGTGATAATAATGATAATAATAAGAATGACGATACTGATAATAATGATGATATTAATAAAGAAAATAATAATGATGATTATAATGATAATAATGATAATAATAATGATAATAATAAAATGATTATGATATCAATATTGATATCAATAATGATAATATAAACAATAATGATAAAGTAATTATTTACTAAATACATAAATTAATAATGGTAAGAATAATGATAGTGATAATAATCACAATGATGATGACAATAATATTGATGATAATAATGAGAATGATAATAATGATAATCACAATAATGACAGTAATATAAACAATGATAATAAAAGAATAGATGAATAATGAATAATAATGAGAATGATGATCATCATCATAATGATAATGATAATAATAATGATAATAATAAAATGAAAAAAAATTATACTGATGTAAACAATAACGATAATGAAATGAATGATAAAATGAAGGATAATATTAATGATAATAATAATGAGGATGATAATGATAAGGAGGATAATGATAATTGTAGTAAGAGTGATAATAATGATAATGATAATAATATTGATAATGAAAATAAAAACAATAATAATAATGAAAATAATTTTAATAATAATGGTAATGATGATAATAATGATAATGATAATGAGTAAAATAATAATAATGATAATGATAATCATAATGCTGATAATAATAGTAACAGTAATAATAATTTTGATAATAATGATAGTAATAATGATAATAATAATGATAATAATGATAATAGCATAAACAATACTAATTAGATAATTGATAAATGAATAGATGATAATAATAATAATGATGATGGTAATGGTGATAATAATAATCCCGAAAATATAAATAATGGTGATAATAACAATGATGATAATAATAACAATGATAATGTTGATGGTAATAATAATAATAATGCTAATGATAAAAATAATGGTGATGATAACAATGATAATAATAACAATGATAATGATGATGGTAATAATAACAATAATAATAATAATAAAATACTAATGATAATGACAATAGTAGCAATAATATTTATATTGCCCATAATACTAATAAAATAATAATCATAATAATGATATCAAGGGTAATAACAGTAATGGTAACAACAATAACAATATCAGGGATATTAGTAAATATGATAAAACAAGCAAGATCATGATGCTAATGATAATACTATTGGCATTGAGAATGAAGGTAAGAGAGTATGAATAGAAATGATAAATAAAACATTTCCTTTATTTCTTCGGCTCAGGCGGAGTGTGACCCGCACCGACGAGGCACTGTCAGGGAGCGCTGACTCGGGACAGTCCGACGCGCCTTCGCTCGGGTCGGCTTCTATTCCGGGCTATTGTGGCGACTCCTGTGTACGTGTGCAAGCATAGCGTGCGTGCATACACACATGTGCACACATGCACACACACACAAACGCGTGTATGTACATACACACATACATATACATACATAAACACATATGTGTATGTGTATGTGAGTGTACTTGTACGACATACTCGCATACAATTATAGAGAAATACGCATTTATATCCATGCAGATGTACGTAAGTATGCCATATGAGTATAAGACTGTGTCCCCGTATGCGGCACAGAAACGGTTGGTGTCATTATCAATGGAGACGATTAGAGCAAAAACTAACCAGACCGCAACAGCAAGATGCAAGGGTAGCGGTGATGGTGCCACCTTGACCCTGGCACCTCCACGTGGTATATAAAGCAAGGCACGAGAGGCCAGCATCACTCTCATTCGCGACACCCTCCACCATCATGAAGTTCGTAAGTCTCATATTTTCCAAATGTTAGAGAAACATTTCTCGATCCATAAGCTTTAAAGCAAACCTATGATAACGTGCATGTATTTACTTGAATCATCTGATTAAAATCTTTTAGTTTGTTATCATGAGAATTGTTAGTCTTGGATATTTTTCCAAACACACAGCAAGTAAAAGCAACTTTCTCCGCGTAGAATGTTTCTGTGAATATGTAAGAGTAGCTTTAGCAAAATCATTAACACAATAACATTCAAACTTTCCAGTTTGTATTCGCCGCAGTTGTATCAGTCTGCTTGGCTGACAGACTGCCCAGTCACTTCGGCTATGCCTCTTCTCGTGAACCTTCTTCAGCCTTCAGCCACAGGTCGCGACCTGCATCTCGTCCTTCCTTTTCCGCCCCAAGACCTGCTCCCCAGCCAACCTACTCCGCCCCAAGATCTGCTCCCGGACCACTAGTGCCCATCCTTGTGGACGACCGCGTCCACCCCGACGCCGCCGGCGCTTACAGCTTCAATGTTGAGACCGGTGACGGCATCTCACGCCAGGAAAGTGGATCGCCTATTCCCGCCAAGGAGGGTCCCGTCACGGCCATGTCCGGATCCTACTCGTGAGTGTCACTGTTTGCTATTGCAATGGTCCTTTCGCAAAGACTGTTCATTGTTCTTAACGTAATGTTTCCCTTTCCATTTGTTTGCATTTGCCATATCCTCCTTTTCCAGCTTCACCCTTCCCGACGGACAAAAGTTTGAGCTTCGCTATGTGCGAGAGAACGGCTTCCAGCCTGATTCAGCCTTCCTGCCCGTGGCCCCAGCCTTCCCTCACCCCATCCCCGCCCACGCCCTTGAGCAGATCGAGCGCGCCCGTCAGGAGGATGCTGCTCGTTCCCGCCAAGGATCTTCTCAGGGATACAGCGCCCCCGTCCCTTCCCGCTCCTCACGCCCCTCTAACTCCTACGGCTTCCCTCAGTAATAAAGAAACATTCGCCGATGATGTGTAATATCTGATTACGATATTTATTAATTTGTCGATACTTTTTCAATAAAATATACAAGAAAAATCCGTTTATTTCTAATGTTTGAGAGAAAGCGTCCTCCTTGACATGATTCTGATCATATTTCTATCATTAATATTACCATCATTCGTGTTTCACGTTGACCGACATAAAACACACACACACAGATACACACACATGCAGGCACGCTCAAGTTCACACATATCCATATGCATATGTCTGTATATACGCACACGCGCATATATATATATATATATATATATATATATATATATATATATATATATATATATATATATATATATACATATACATATACATACATATATATATATATATATATATATATATATATATATATATATATATATATATATATATATTCATGTATGCATGAATATATATATGTATGCCGCAAAGATCTTTACTGTTTCGTGGATTTTCTTTATTACACTGTTCCAGATTCAAAACTGCCAGGTGAGAAAAAGTGAGAGAGGGGCGTCAATAGATACACGTATATGTAGATAGATGATAGATAGATATAGATAGACAAATAAATTGATACATGGGTAAGTAAGCAGATAGATAAAGTTGAGGAAACTATTCGATATTTTAAAAGAAATATATGTATGTATGTATGAAATGTATGTATATGTATATACATCAGATATAGTGAAATCATTTAGGTCTAGAATTGTTTGTTTATATCTAAAACACTATACAAATAAGCCGTACCCGCTCTCTCTATATATTTATCTATCTGTCTATCTATCTATCTATCTATCTATATATATATATATATATATGCCTGTCTATTCATCCATATTTTTCACCTGGTGCGCTTCAGTAAATAAGACAAGCTAGTAAAGAAAATCCATCACATGTGGTGACTTGGAAATCAGAAAAAAAAAACATTGCCATCGAGGAAGATTAGAACTTTCCATTTCAATACATATATAGAAATAATAAACACTGATGCAAACATATAATAATTTTTATCATTATTATTATCATATCATAATCAGCATTGCCCTTATATTTGGTAGCAACAATACTGACAAAAATAATATTAGTTATGCTATTGATAGCACTAATGATAACGGTTATAATAAAACTAGTAACAAAAGTAATTGCAATGTCTACCGGCAACAGTCTTGATGGTTGAAATGACATAGATCACATTAGCTTCATGGACAATGGTGTTCTTTATCTTTATTATTAATATCTTTCTTATCGATGAAAACTTTGTAATTAGAATTACCATCATGGCCACATACTACAACATCTAATAACAAAAATAATGATAATGGCAAAGAAACATAATGTCTGGTTATTACCCTAATAATGCTAATAATGAAAATAATAAGACCTGCAATATTACCATCGCATCATCAATTCAATAATGTAAAAAAATAAAGTGTCAGTAACAAAAATCATGACTGCT